GGAGTTACGGACAGTTGTTAACTACCATGTGGGTGCTAGGATTCAAACCCGGGTCTTCTGAAAGAACAACCAGTGTTTTAACCGCTGAGCCATCTCTCCAGCCCTCAGTTTTGTTTTTTTTAAAACAGTCTTGTCAAGCAGCCTCAATCAGATACAATTTGTGTTATTATTTTAGTTTGGTTTTTGAGAAAGCATATCATAATTTAGCCCACGGTGTTCTCCAACTTGTGATCTTCCTGCTTCTGCCTCCCAAGTTGGGATTACAGATCTAAACCACCAACCCCAACCAAATACAAGTTTTTAATCAATATTTAAAGATTGTTAATTTTATGATCAGAAACCAGTATTGGCCCAAATGTTAAAGTACAACTTAGACTCCCAGGTACTGATTATTTTCTAAGACTCCTATTTTTGTGCCAATCAAAGTTAGAGTTAGCATAAAGTCTCTTGACAAACCAGGTTAATTTCAAACATTACAAAATAGAACTGCATTTGCTATGTTCCAGATATTGTACCAAAAGTTTTGTAAATATTATTTCCCCAGAAACTTACAAGTTGAAGCTGTTATTATACCCATTTTACAGATCCAGAAGTTGAGGCTCAAGTAGTTTAAGTGGCTTCTCCAAGGGCATATATATTTTGGCAAAGTCAAACAGTCCATTCGATTCCAATCACATTATGCTACTTATTTCCTCTAAACTTTTGCTGTCTAGTGTGAAAAGAAATTCTACCACCCACCTGTAAGCCAGGGAAAGGACTCCAGGCACCATGTGAAATCACATGCCCAAATAACCAGACTATACTCTGATAAGATAGTCTGAGCATAAAAATCCAGCTATGACATGGCCAGACTTTGGACCTACAGAAACTGTTATTGTATTTGGTTCCCCCTACAGTTATCTATCAACTGAAGGTTGAGTTAGCTATCTTGACTACTTAAATGGGAACACTGACATGCCTGGCCTCGGGACTCCCAGTTCTTAGGCCTATACACTCAAGACTACAATCTACTCCATTATTTCTCTGGCCTCAGACCTTCACACCATTTCAACAGTTTTCTGGATGTCCAGCTTGCAGACAGCAGCCTATGAAACCGAGTCACCACAATATGAGCCAATACTTTATACTAAATCTCTTTATTAATCTATACCTCACTTAGCCCACCACCTTAGGCCTTCCTAATCTTTGCTTCAGTTTATCTGCAGCAGGTAACACCTGTGGCATTTCTAAGTAACAGTACAGTTAAGCCTTAATAAAGAACAGCCTAGGGACTGGAGAGATGGCTCAGCAGTTAAGAGTACTGGTTGCTCTTGCAAAGGACCCAGATTCAGTTCCCAGCCCAACATGGTGGCTAACAACCATCCAAAATGCCAGTTCCAGGGTATCCAGCACCCTCTTCTGACCTCCACAGGCACTGCATGACACAGGTACCCTTATATGCCTTATATGCAGGCAACACACTCATACACATAAAATAAAAATATTTTAAAAAATGAAGATACAGCCTCTTCAGAAAAAAATGAAGATACAGACTCTTAGCATTCATAAGACCAAGAGTGAACCAGAACCGTTGAGCACCCATTCTGTCAGATGTCTTTTGCAACTGTGCTCCTCAGCCAGACTTCACTCATTCTTTCACTGGCACAGTATCTCCAGCATAAATTGAGGAAGCAGAAGTCAGGACCCACCCTTACTCATGAGAATCTTGCCCTTTGATCCCTAGGCCTAGACTATCACAACACACTATAACAAAAAACAGATTTCTCTCATTGTTTGCAATGAGAAGAGCCCACTGCTTTCAGCCCTGGTATATGTACACACATTCATACTCTATCTTACACTATCTTGGGTAAAGGGCACGGAGGGGTCCTGAGGGACTAAGGTCATATGCCCAGGTTACCAAGAAGAGCACATGGCTCAGTGAGCTTGCTTACATTATAAAACAGTAACTTTTGGGAGGCAAGGATAGGCGAATGTCTTTAGTCCAGATTATGTCTGTATTGTAAAAGCCATTCCTATAAACATCTTAATGACACTTAGTGATGACTCGGGCTGCTAGTCACAGCCAAAGGAAGAAAGCCAAAGATTTAGTTTGCTCCACTCAGGTGAGGTCATATGTCATTCTTTACACAAAGACATGTCCATATATCAGGGTTTTCTGTTTTTGTTTTTTTTGAGACAGTCTCCCTGTAGCCCCAGCCGTCCTGGAACTTGCTATGTAGACCAGGCTGGCCTCAATCTCAGGTATGCACCACCATTCCCATTTTTTTTTCTTTTTAGTTGTTGTTTTGTGAATTTCATGAGTATTGTATATCAGGGTTTTAAAATTTATTTGATACTGGCCCAGCCTTATCTTTAATATAGCCAACTCCCTCTGCAATTCTTCCTGGTTAATTACTGCCAGAGAATTTTAAAAAGTATTTTATGTGTATGAACTTTTTTTCTGCATGTATGTAAATGTACCATGTGCACGTAATGACCTGCAGAGGTCAGAAGGTGTTGGATCCCCTGGAATTGGAGTCATGGGTTATTAGCTGCCATGTGAGTGCTGAGAATTGAACCTTCCTTTGGAAGAACAGCAAGTGTTCTTAACCACTGAGCCATCTCTCCAGCCATTACCACAGAATTCTATCCTTTAAAACCTGTACTAACCCCCACCTCTGTTCCAGATTCATAATAAACCTAGATTTTTCAAGAACTTAATCAAAGGAAATAGTAGTTCACCCTTCTCTATGGTGCAAGTCTCCTAGATGACTCTAAGGTTCTTTAAAAAAACTACTTTGGAATGTCATCCTAGTATCCCTCATTCCAAGATCTACATACAATATAACACAACACCTGATGTGGCAGGTTTTGTCCTGCAACCAGTCAGGGATGCACTCTCAATCTGTGAAGGTAGCTGACCAACTATCCTGACTCGAGGAAAATTTCCCACTGAGTCTTAGTTTGCAAATTCCTTGGTTTGTTCCATACCAATTATCAGCAAATAGGGCAGTTGATCTGGTCATAGAACACTCTAGGACTTCTGGAACCTAGTTTATTGGTAGAAATTCAGTGATAGCAGCCAACACGAAAGCTCTGATGTCCGTAGTTCCCAAACGTGACACCCCAAGAAGACTCAGTCTTGAACTGTAGAGACTGTATTTTGCATTCCTAGAATGTTCTGGCCTCTTTTCCAGAATGATTACATGCTAGGATCCAGTACTACCACATGACAAAGCACTGGCCTCTAGCTCCATTATGGCACACTAAAGAAAAACTTTCTCTAGTGTGATGAGAGCTGGGGCAGAAGCCTTACTATAGTTGTGTTTTGTGATTGGCCTGAGAGAAATCTATCAGGCTGACTGTCTTAAGCATTTGGCTATAGTCAATTATAAGACTCTGCAGAAAGCCACCTTTTCTAGAGACCAGACCCCAGGGAATTAGTCTCAAACCACTAAGAACCCTCCTCTAGAACTTACAGCGAAATAATGAATGAACTAGACCTATATACAACCACATAGATAGTTCTTAAAGACAATTTTGAGTGGGAGAGAAAACCAGCTGGAAGAATGAACTGCTGTGGAATACACATGAATGTGAATTATCAAGAAGCAAGCCTGTGACTTCATTAAAAGCAGGACAGTGCTTACCTCCTGGAGTAGGGGCTGTAATAAGAAAGGCAATGGCAAGATGGAAAGTTTTAGGGTATAGGAAGTGTTCCATTTCTTGATTTGGGTGGTGGATACATGTGCATTTATAATTATTCTTTTTAAAAATTATTTTTATGTGTATGAGTGAATTGCCTGCATGTATGTAACTGTACCCATGTCAGTCATGCAATGCCCACAGATGTGAGAAAAGGGCGTCAGATCCCCCTGGAACTGGAGTTACAGGTGGCTATTAGATGCCATGTGGGTGCTGGGATTTGAACCCTGGTCCTCTGCAAGAGCAGCCAGTGCTCTTAACTCTTGAGCCATCTCTCCAGTCCCAATATGATTATTCTTTCATCACCACAAAAGTTTTTGGCCCAGTTCTCTTAGTGTATTTTTAAAAATATTTTATTATTTTATGTGTATGAATGTATTGGCAAAATGTATGTAAGTGCACCCATGTCATGCAATGATGATGGAGATCAGAAGAGGGTGTCGGATTCCCCTGTAACTCTAGTTATAGATGGTTGTTAGCTGCCATGTGGATGCTGGGAATGGAACCTGGATCCTCTGCAAGAGCAGTCAGTGCTCCTAACTGCTGAGCCATCTCTCTAGCCCCCTTAATGTATATATTTTTAAAAAGCAAATCAAGCCCAGCGTGGTGACACATGCCTTTAATCCCAGCACTCGGGAGGCAGAGGCAGGCAGATAAAGAAAAAAAAAAGAAAAAAAAAAAAAAAAAAAAAAAAAAAAAAAAAAAAAAAGCAAATAATTGGAGCTAGAGAGATGGCTCAGTGATTAAGAGCATATACTGCTCCTTCCAGAGAACCCATGTTTGGTTCCTAGCACCCATCTCAGGCATCTTACAACCACCTGTAATGCCAGCACTAGGGGATGTGAAACCTTGTGGTCTCTGAGGGCACCTGCATTCACATGCACATACCCACACAGAGACACACATGCATACACATAATTAAAAAGAAAAATAAAATCTTTAGGGGCTGGAGAGGTTAAGAGCAGTTGTTGTTCTTGCAGAGAACCTGGGTTTGTGTCCCAGCACCCGCATGATGACTAACAACCATCTGCTAACTCCAGTTCCAGGGGATCTGATGCCCTCTCCTGGTCTCTGCAGGCACTGCAAAACATGGGTACACTTGAAACAGGCTGGCAATACATTAAAATATATTTTTTTAAATTTTAAAAATAAAATCTTTTAAAAAAGGATATATATTGAAATCTACATTGGTAAAGGAGCATCCTATCTGCAACTTACTCTCAAATAGCTCAGGAAGAGTCACCGGATTATTCATTATTGATTATTCCTATTTTCATGAATAAGGAAGGGAAGAAAGAAAGGCATACTCCAAGTAGAGTATTTTCATCTCCTTTTATTGAAGGAAATAGAAACTTGTGCTGCTAAGGCAGTGGTACCTCAGAGCATGACAAGGTAGTTGGTGGGGCTGACATGACAAGCCACAATGCTGGCCAGGCATCCTACCACAGTGGGAGAACCAAACCCACAAAGATAGGAGGGAGCAACATCCCTAACACCTAGAGTAAGCATTTCCATTCACAGAGAGCTTGGCCATGCATGTAAACAGGGTCCCCTTATGGCTGGTAGCACATCCTCTCAGGTCACCAAATCCTTCCCAAACCAACAGGTAGTCTCAGTTGGAGACCCTTTCTTCTGACTCAAGTATTCTTTCAGCTCTTGGAAGAGGCTGAGATCTTGAAACATCACCTAAGTATAGCTGGACAAGTACTTGCCCGGCCTTGCTCTAAAAGCAGCTAGATGTTTTTCTCTTGACTTCTCACACTGCTCTCACTCAACATGTGCTCTAGGAAACCTCTCAATGCTATAAACAAGGACAGAATGGGAGCAGCCACCTAGGGGATGCAGGGAATAAAAAGCTGCTACATAGCCAAGACCATTTCACTAGAAATAGCATGGGAACACTACTGGGTCACGGTTCTCCCCAACAGCTGCTAGAAGCATACACAAAGAAAAACATGGTAGTTCTCCCATGTTGGGATGAGCTGTGCCAAAGTCATGGTCCAGGAAACAGAGCCACTTAATGTCCCTGGCAGATTATCAGACCCCAGGCCATTCCCAAGCTGTTATAGTTTTCAAATATAATGAGGTGTCTGGGAAGTTTGGTCACAGAAAAGCAAGCTCTAAAGAAATTTCAACAGATTGCAAATTAATAATGCTATCAAACTATAAATTTACAGCCAAGAACTGATTGTGAGGGGTAAGGAATGGGGGTGCTCAAGATTTTGCTTTTAAGAAATAGGTTGGTTTATTCATGAAAACCCTTGCTCATAAATCACCCTCATGCCCATAGACTGGAAGGGAATTCCTTATCTGAAATGGCTCTTGCTGCATCCAGTTGCAGCTCTCTTCAGTGCTGAACACATGGTTTCCAGAGATCAAAGTATTGAGAGCACTAGATCAGGAAATGGGAGGAGCAAGGTAAGGAGAAGAGGGCCTCGGGGGCTGGAGTTTCTGAAATGAGTGTTTACTTCACAAAAGACTTGGCACAAGAGGCTGGGATGAGTGTGGTTTTAGTGATTGTTCTTGGTTGCCTCCTTTGCTGCAGCAATCAGTGGAGTGAGGCTGGAGAGGGGCTTGGCAATCTTCAGGAACTGATGCTAGAAAGGAGAAATGGAGCAAAAAACCACATGATTATTTCCCATTCTTCCTTGGCAAGCATTATAAGATGTATGGACATCTGTGTCAGATCATTCTGAAAGTGAAGGACATCTTTATTAAAACCACTTTAGTGAACCATTTCAGTACCTGCCTATAGATAAACATATATCTATCTACCTGATAATTTAAATTCCAGTTCTAGTTGTATTCCCAAGAGGAATGAGTTTTTATACCATCAGAAAACATATATAAGAATGTTCATACAAGCTTTTGGGCTTTTTGTTTTTTAACATATTTTGTGTAATGTGTATGTGTATGGGCACATGCATGCTATTGTGTGGGTATGGAGGTTGGAGGACAACTTGCTGGAGTTAATTCTCTTCTTTTATCATATGGGTCCTGGGACCGAACTCAGGTTGTCTGGCTTGACAGCAGACACCTTTACCCATCTCGCTGACCCCTTGTACAAGTTTTACTTGTAATAGTTAATAACTGTAAAGAACGCAAATGTCTAAGAAAATGGAAGAATAGTTTTATATTCATATGAAATAATACAGATTACACAGCAATAAAGATGAATAAATTATTGACACATTGACAGCGAGCTGAATTCCACAGACATTTCATTCACCTGTTGAGTGAAAGAAAAAAAAAGAGAATTCATTTTGTATGATTTAGTTTCTTCCTAGGTAAGTCTGAACTATTGAGATAAAAGAATAACTATTATCTCTGGAGAAAGTATTGGCTGATCATGATCTAGTGTTGTACTTAAGCCTCAGCTGAATAGTTGGAACCACAGGTTTGCACCACCATAGCTGGCACAGAATCCTTTGTTCTATCCTTGAGTCAACAAGCCTAATTAATCCAGTAAGTCAATAGCTTTGTCCTTTCCAAAATTATTTTCATGGGGTTCTACTTTGAGCCGTACTCTCAATTTTAAAAAAAGATTATTTAAGAGAAAGCACCATAAGAAAAGGTTATATAAAACAATTCTTTATATAACCCAGAGTCTATTAAAACAATTTTTTTTCACATTTTTGTTCTGAGGATGTGGGATGTTCCTCTCATTTGATAATAAATGTAAGAGCTACAACATTTCTTTTTTTGAGTAAATGTGATGTTTAACTATTCATTTAACACATCTGATTTTTCTATCACACTTATAATCCTTTTGATTAGTTTATTATATATGTACAGACACACAGAGACATATACACAAATATTCTTTGCTGAAAGAATCTCATCTTATATATTTCTGTCCATATATGTGCTCTCACAGTAGAAAAAGATATGAAAATAAAGCCTTGGTTTTGCCTATTTACCATGTACACTGACAAGTTAAAGAGCCACAATTATGAGGTCACATTACTACAAGTCTTCTCGGAGGTGAGAGTCGTATATGCTGACACTCAACCAGGAGGCTTCACTTTCCTTCTCTACAAAGAAAACTAGGTAAGCCCCATAAACCTTCCAGTTCTGACACTGTTTGAGCCTAGAAAAGCAGTACACAGGCTTGTACCACCTGTGCAGTGGAAAGCAAAACAGAGAGAGTAGAATCTCGGATCCTGTATTTGTTGGCTGTCTAATCATGGAAGTTATAAAACCTCTATTTCCTTACCTGTAAAAATGGGAATAACCAATCTTTTAACTCACAAAATTTCTGTGAAGAATATGTAGGTATATATATATATATATATATGTGCTTAATATCAGAATGTGGTAAAGCTTCAATACACACATACACACACACATATAATGCATTTATTACTAGTAGCACTGCTGTAATAGGAGGAAAACTCTAGAGGTCACTAACCTTTAAATGGCTACAATTTGGTACCTAATTAAGAATAGTATTTTCAACAGTCATAGGCTTAGCATAGTATTTATACATTTCCCAATGCCTATGGCTTCCAGCACACAAGCCAAATAAAAGACAAAAAGATCCTTTATTTTACCATCTGTTATAAGGAGTCTTTTAGTTCCAAAGGATCCTACAGATTATTGCTTACACTTGGCAGGCCCTGGATTTCATACCTAATAGGACAGTGCTCCACCAGTAGCCTCAGTAACAAACAGAAGTGAAAAATGCATGTAAAAAAAACATCTCTATTCCATTTTATAAATGTTTTCTGGGCACTATTTCTGAGTCAGGTCCCTATATAAGAGGAAACCCAGATATTAATAAGAGAGTAGTAAAGATAGAGGTATTCATAAGTAACTAATACAAGGTAGTGTGCTAGGTCCGGCCTGCCCTGCTCAGTCACTCTCTGGTCTGGTGACACATAGTAACTGATAAATCTGCAGGCACGCACTGTTACCTCCACAAACCTGCACGTGATATTCACTATTAAATCACCAGTGGGCAGTACAGTAAAATGACACAGAAATAAGAAATTGCATTGAAACATAAATGCCCAATACAAATGATGAGGCTTGCTAAAGGCAGTTTTTACAATCATATAAAGTAATTTAAGCTGTGATTTCAGGATTAAGTAGGTGGTACTTTTTCTTCTTTTTTTGAGACAGGGTCTATCCTATAGTCCCACCTGGCCTGAAACTCTCTCTGTCTGTAGATCAGGCTGGCCTCAATCTCACAGTGATCTGCCTGCTTCCGCTCCTGAGAGCTGAGACTAAAGGTAGGGACCACCACACCTAGTTTAGGTGGCACTTTTTATAAAAGGCTTGGTAAACCAACTCCGGGTTTCCCGACACCCTTGCAGAATCTCACTCCAGACAAGCAGACTATCCTTGCAATGATAGTCCGAGGTTTGCAAACCCGAGGTTTGCAGTGATGAAACAGTGAAGACTTTGGAAGCTGCACTATCCCCAAACTGATGGTCCTTAGTATTGCCTCCACTTATCCCTATCACATTTTACCTGTGCCAAGATTAAACTCCTCAGAGAGCTACTTCTTGAGACTCAAACTCTATCAGACTAATTTGGGCAAAACAAAGGAAGCCCAAAAGACAGAAAATGTTCAACAGGAGCTCAGAAAGTAGATTGTTGGCTGAGCCTAGGAGGATGTGTAAAGTTTAAATGGTTTGAGGAAGAAGCAAGGGACAACTATAAGCAAAGGTCCAGGGGTGAAGATCATGGAGCTAGGTCTACAGAGTGTAGGAGACTGTAGGAGAGAAGCATAGCCCTATAACCAACCTCATGAACACAAAGGAGGTACCAAAGGCTTGGTTAGTGCCTCCATGAATTAGAGGGACAGTTACCTGCAGTAGCTCTTTGGCTGAACCCCTCTTCTCCACATCCATCTCAAGACAGCGGTTCAAAAAGTCCCGGAAAATAGCCGACAGCTTCTCTGGGTTCTGCAGCTCTGGGGTCCCGTTGGTGGCAATGAGGTACAAGGCCTGGCAAGTAAATGGAGAATCATCTTGAGCTCCCATTGAGCCTGTCTCTTGGTTCTCAGACATGCCCTCTGAAATACAGCCAGCTGCTATATGCTCTAAGACAGAAAGAAACAGCTGTGATGTTCTGGTAAGAATATAACCTAAGGATCAGGCATAGCATTTCAAGGCCAAGTGACCATCTGTATGCCACCAAACTTCTACCTTCTTTGCTAATAAAATAATGCTCCATGTCTGTAAAAATAAAGTGAGTATATTTGGAAAGCACTTTGTAAATTTACGACATGTTACAAACCTAAGGGTTTAATGTTTTTCTTGATTACAGATCTAAAGTGTTTATTATTCACTTAGCCTGATGAGTTAAACATTTCAGCTACTGGCAGAAATTGCTCCTGCTGCCTTCACTGAACTCAGTCACCCAAGAAGACTATAAAAAGGAATGTTTGGTTAGGCAGCAAACTGTTTCATGCGTGCTTTCCTGCCCCTTAACATGAAGCATCTCTTAGGGAAAATAAAGAAAAATATAGTAATAGAAAACCTTTACAAAAGCACTAAGAACTTTAATTCAAAAGGTGCTTACATAGCATTGGCTCATTTTTAAAAAAATATATTATTTTCATTTTATGTGTATGAGTGTATTACCTGCATGTATGTAAGTGCACCCATGTAGTGTGATGCCCATGAGGTCAGAAGAGGGTGTCCCTGGAACTGGAGTCACAGATGGTTGTTAGCCACCATGTGGGTGCTAGGAATCAAATCTGGGTTCTCTACAAGAGCAGCCAGTGCTCTTAACCTCTAAGTCATCCCTCCAGCGCTGCATTAGCTCATTTTTAATGGCCATAGTAACTCTGGGTTACAGGCAGGATAAGTACAATATCCCTATTCCACAGATAAGTTATTCCCCACATAAGGTTATATACTTCCAATCACACTGTTCATGAGTGCATGTACTAAATCTAATCCCAGTCTTAATTCCATCACAACACCCTGATCATCACCTTCATATGTAGACAGAGAAGGACGTATTATTTATGGTTTCTGAGGACAAACAGCAGAAACTAGAGAAGACAGTTTAATTTTAAGACACTACTGATTCCACTTTCTTTAATATCCAATTCATCTTGTCGGCTACCCTGCAAGACGCTTCCTTCCTATTTCCCACAGAGGCAGCCAACATGATTAACTGAAGATAAATTGTATCCTATTACTCTCTAGCTGAAAACTCTAAAATTCTTCCCAACTCTGCAAATCGAAGTCAAGTTCCCACAATGGCCCACAGGTCTGAGCTGCTGGCCCTCTCCTCTTCCTGACCACTCTATTCCCTTCTCTCACTTCAAGGAAACAGGAAAACACAACAAGTAAAACTCATCAAATTCTTGATACCTGGAAACTCCTGCCTGCGCCCAGTCTCAGGGCTTACTCTTTTCTTCTTTCATGTTTCTGCTGAAACTCATAGGAGAAACTTCCCTCTCTACTCTAAATGAAACCTTCATTACATACTCAATCCCTTATTCTGCATTTCCCATAGCAATTTACCATCTGTTACTATTAATAATTTGGTTTTATTATCAGAACAATTTCTTGCATGATAGGAACTCAACCATTATATAAAGGAGTGCTTTTTAATACCCCCCAGCAGTGCTGAGTTTTGAACCTAAGAACCTGCATAATCTAGGCAAGCCCTCTACAAATTAACTATATCCCCTCATTTATATTTGTGATGGTTTGAATGAAAATATCCCCCATAGACTCCAAGTATTTGGACATTTTGTCCCCAGATGATGGTGCTGTTTTGGGAGGTTTTAGAAGGTGAGGCTATCCTGGAGGAAGCACGTCACTGGGAGTGGGCTTAGAGAGTTCTTAAGTCTTGCCAGATCTCCAGTCGCTCTCTTGCTTCCTGTGCCTGCACGATGGTGTGAGAGCTTAGCTTCTGTTGCTCCTGCTCCAGCCACCTCTGCCACCATGCCTCCCCACCAAGACGGACTGTAATTCCCCTGGAACCGTAAGCGCAAATAAATTCTTCCTTCTATAAATTGCTTGGGTCAGTGTTTCTATCACAGCAACAGAAAAGTGACTAATACAATATTTTAAACTCAACAGACTTTGGGGTTTGAGGGTTGTTTTGTGTGGTTTTAAATTTTTATTTAGGACAATTTACAATAGTCAGTTTTTCCTTTCACCACGTCGCAGGGATTGAACTCAGGTTGTTAGGTTCAGTGGCAAGTACTTTAACCCACTGAGCCATCTCACCAGCCCCAGGGCTTCACTGTATCACCCAGGCTAGCCTCAAACTGGCAATCTTTCTACCTTAGTCTCCTCAGTTCTAGGGCTACAAGCATGTGTCACTATGCCCAGCCATGGAGAGAGAGAGAGGGGAGAGAGAGAGAGAGAGAGAGAGAGAGAGAGAGAGAGGAGAGAGAGAGGAGAGAAAGAGAGAGAGACACAGACACAGAGAGAGACAGAGACAGAGAAAGAGAGAGAAGGAGAGAGAAAGAGAGAGAGAGAGAGAGGAGCTCTGTCTTAGTTCAATTTTCTGGGTTTAGAAACAACAGCCCAAATAATTTGAGAAGATTAGGAACACTTACTCTCAAAGGGTTTTCATTGAGGTATGGGGGCTCCCCCTCAATCATTTCAATGGCCATGATGCCCAGAGACCAGATGTCAACCTTGGGTCCATAGGCCTTCCGCGTCACAACCTCGGGTGCCATCCAATATGGAGTTCCTACCATGGTGCTCCGTTTGCTCTGCTCTGGCGTGATCTGTGCACAGAATCCAAAGTCAGCTGGAAAAGAGAGGGAAAAGATAGACATTTAGGTTATTCCATCAATAAGCTATGCACCTACACACAGGTACCAAGCTTTGCCAGTCTCACTAAAGCAGGAGTCACTTGACTGTATCCCTTCATGCCCAGCTCCTTGTCTTTCTTGCTCAACCCTGAAGAGAATATATAAGGAACACTACCTCTTACCTCCCACCTTCTCCTCAAAACAATGGGTGAAGGCATTAAAGTCCAAACAGGCTACTTGGGCCTTGACTGCTTGACCCAGTTTTGCTTTATTTATTTTTTAAATTTATCTTTATTTTGTGAGTATGAGTGTTTTGCCTGCATGTATGTAAGTGCATCCATGAGTGTAGTGCCCACATAGGGCATCGGATTCCCTAGAAATAGAGAGGGCTCCCTGAGAACTAGTGGCTACTGGGAAAGGAACCTGGGTCCTCTGCAAGAGTACCAGGGCTCTTAACCACTGAGCTGTCTCACCAGCCCACCCACCCCCTTTTTCAGTTTTGCTTTATTCTTAAGAAACATTCTCATACTTCAGAATCTTGCAATTAATTCCTTCTCTTATTCCCTGGGCAAAAGTCCCTGAATTAAATCCTAATCATCAACACTTTGGCCTGGTCCTGCTTTTATCAGTTCCTCAACCTGTGCCAACAGTCCCCTCATAAATGACCCCACCCACTTGTAACATAGCCTGCTTGTCTAGGCAACTGGCTTCATACCTTTGTACAAAATGTCCTACCTATAGTTCTTTTACATTATATTGCAACTATAGATATTTTGTTTTAGTTTTTTTGACAGGGTCTCCCTAGCCCCAGCCTGTTTGGAACTCACTATGTAGACCAGGCTGGCCTCAATCTCAGAGATCTGCCTGCCTCTATCTCTGCCTCCCGAGTGCTCAGATTAAAGGAATGCACCACCACATCCAGTGTTATAGGTTTATTTAAGTCAGTAAGGCCTTGATAGCAAAGACTAATTTGTACCTTTAAAGGGGCTGGCATGTAATAGGCATAAACAGTTGCTGAATAAATAACTGAAAGAATTAAGTTACATAAAACTTTTTTCTAGTATATAACAAGCCTCTTACACTACACTATCATAGGGCCTAGCACAGAGTAGGCACAGGAAAGAAAAAAAAGGTTTTACTGTTTAAAATAATGAAAAAGCCAGGCATGGTGGGGAGGCAGAGGCAGGTGAACCTCTGTGAGATCCTGACCATCCTGTTCTACATAGTGAGTTCCAGGACAGCTGGGGCTACAGGGAGACCCTGTCTCAAAACAACAACAACAACAAAAACAAAAAACAAATGAAAAAACCCCAAAAGAACCAAATAAAATAATGGAAAAAATAATGAAAAGACACTCTAAGATAACACTAAGGACTGTAAAGAGCCTGCAGAATCCTATGAAGTGATAAAGTCTGCTTGGTGAGTGTTGTAGTTCTATTATATGATTGTTGCTCACAGAAGACAGAGTCCCACATTCCTAAGACTCTTACTTACTTAACTTGACAGAGCCATCCATTCCTAGCAGAATATTGTCACTCTTGATGTCTCTGTGAATGACTTGGTTTGAATGCAGGAACTCCAAAGCCTGTAGACACTGTTGAAGTCACGTGGGCAGAAAGAGAAGAAAGGAACATATAATACAGATGACCAACACTAATCGAACCTCCTCCTTTTAAGATAAAGGAGGTACAAAGCCCAAGAATAAAAGGGCTTGCCACACAGAAGAGGCAGAGCCAGCTCTATTAACCAAGTGTTCTATGTCCTAGCTAAGCATTCCTTGAAAAGTTCATGTGGCTCACACCACCTGTAACTCCAACTCCAGGGCATCCAATGTGCCGGCCTCTGCAGGCACCCACATACATGTGCACATACCACCCCCAATATTTTAAATTGTAATTAATTTAAACACTCCATGCTACTTTTCATCTTGGGATTTTCCTTTAAGCAGAAGTATTCTACCAATCTCTCTCCATGTCTGGGAAAGTAGACACATGGAAGAGATATTAGAAGTAGCAAGTTAACAGACAATCTTATTTTGGCAAGGAGATAGTTTGAACTACTTAGGATGTATTGAATTTGACATGTCTGAGACACATGAAGACAATTGAGATATTTACAAGTCATTTGCAAAAAGGAATTTTTGTTTTGGCAGATGAAACTATGGCCTCAAATATACTAAGCATATGCTCTTATCACTGAACCACACTGCCAGCCAAGCCAGGTTAGGTTTTAGGAATGACTGAAACTGGCAAAAGAAATCCCCTATACTTAAGAGGCAGAATGAGTGACAAAGAAAGTGATGGTATAATTAAAATGCCTGGTTCTGACCGCCACACTGGCAAGGTAGCACACATGTGCCCACATACATGCCTACACACATACATGCACACACACACACACGCACACATAAATGTAAAAAAAATAATAAAGAAATATAAGCAATATCCCAAAAAATAAAAGAAAAATATCTGGTTCTGCCATCAGGCTAGATAAACCACTTTCTCTGGCATACTATTGTCTCACCTATCATGGGGATCAGATGAGATTATCCTGGCTTTTCTACTAAATTCAGTAGTTTGAGTTCATTGACACAAAGCTAAATTTTAAGAAGCTTCTACCAATTAAAATCACTGCAGTTGCAAGCCAGCAGGACAATACTATTTGAATGGTCCTAATTTATTTTTTAAATATATTTTTTAAATACTTTATTATTTTTATCTTATGTGTATGTGTGTGTTGCCTGCATGTAGGTAAGTGCACTCATGTCATGCAATGCCTGTGGAGGACAGAAGAAGCCTTCAGATCCCCTGGAACTGGAGTTATAGACAGTTGTTAGCTACTTTTGGGTCTGGGACTTGAACCCAGGTTTTCTGCAAGAACGGTCAGTGTTCTTAACCGAGGAGTCATCTCTCCAGCTCCCTGAATGGTCCTAATTTAATACTTAGCTTTTAAAGAACATAGTAGCAACTAAATTAAGAACAAACCAATATCCACATGACCTGGGTGGGTCTATGTATATATGTACGCATTTAGACATGGTCTCTCGGTAACTGGCCTGCTAGAAATGAAGACATTCTAAAGAGAAACTTGTGTTTTTCAATCTGACTATAAGACTATTGTAACAACAGATCTCAAAGGAAGGAGAATCTCCCCAGGAATCTCATGCTGGGAGAAGGAAAGGCTTCAGTCAGGGTAGAAACTCCAGAAAGGGATTTCACAGTTCTGACAACTTGTCATATCATAGAGATTGAAGGCCAGACAATGATGGATCAATGGTGGGCAGGACCACACCTTGAGAGGGATTGCTTAGAAATGCATTTTCTTGGTTCTCTAAACTTTAATCTTTCAAGACCCCCAAACAGACTTGGAGTGGGTCCCTGCATCTTTGTCCCTCTTTCCAATGTGGCCACATTGAATAAATCTTTTTCCTGCTTTCCACTATTAAGTCGACTCTTTTAATTCACTTACTGAGGATGGATGGCCAAACCTGGCTTGGGGTACAAGCTATAACCCCCAAATTCAGTAACACTGGTAGATAGTGCAGGCTGGCCTTAAATTTGTGACCCTCTAGACTCAGCCTCTGCAAGGCTTCAATGAGGAGGCAGATTCAAGTGAGGTGGTGTTGGGGTGTATGGACTTGGAGAAATTGCCCCAGTACTGATAACTCCAAAAGGTAAGACTGCCAGGTTCCATGTGCTCTCCCATCAGCCTGTGATGATAATCTTCAACTGCTTACCCCTAATACTGTGGCTGTGACATCAGCATTTCTGCTCCCCATTCCTGGACTTGTTACAGGCATACAGAAAGAAGTTGCAAAAATGACCTGTTTTTCAGTAAAACCACCAATATAACTGCTGGGACAGTGGGGAAGATCACTTAGGAGCTGGGAGATCTTTGAGTTGCTGTGCTACAAAGCTGGGCTACCATAGGCTATCTGCTTTTAAAAAAACACTTGGGCTGTGAGCATTTCCTGCATGTGTTGCTTTACTATTTTGATTATTCTCATCAAATAAACAGCAAGTATGCTGATGTCTCAAGGATGAGGTTGCTAAAATTTTTCTTTTTCTTTTTGTCTTTTTGAGACAGGGTCTCCCTGTAGCCCCAGCTGGCCTGGAACTGGCTATATAGACCAGGCTGGCCTCAAACTCCCAGAGATCTGCATGCCTCTGCCTCCCAAGTGCTGGGACCAAAGGCATGTGCTACCATGCCTGGCGAGGTTACTAAAATTTCTATGAGCTCTGTTCAATAGCCTTTGTGGTTACACTTGTTTGTACTTTTTCTTGACCATATAGTGGTTATTGTCCTGTTTCTTGTTTATGGACCTGTGTTGCTTCAAATCACTACGTAGGCTGTATATCAAATACTGGCTTTAGTATTAGCCTATATTCTTTTTGAGGAACTAGAAAAACAAAAAGGCGGAAATGAGCCAGACATGGTGGTGCATGCCTTTAGTCCCAGCACCTGGGAGGCAGAGGCACGTGGATCTCTGTGAGTTCAAGGCCAGCCTAGTCTACACAGTGAGTTCCAGGACTGCTGGAGCTACAAGGAAACCTTGTTTCAAAAACACCAAAAAAAGAAAAAAAAAAAAAGAAAGAAAGAAAAGGGGAGACAAAGGGACTGTGAAGTAGTGTTCCTCTGACTTTAAAAATATCCTTGGTGAATTAAACTGAACCTTGAGCATGTATGTCTGGAGAGCCTTGTATCTCATGAGAAAGTTTATGTAAGAATGCCTGCTGGGGAGTTATCTCCAGAATGCCAGTGCTCCCCTACTTTTTCAGGAGACACTTTGATCTCCCAAGAAGGCATACCATGGCAATAATGCTATCTTGCTCATTATATTTTGCCGAACTGCTATATTCTCGCTCCTTTATTATTGTTCACTGTTCTGTAAACATTCAGTTGTAGCTCTAATGAGTATGAGAATGAAAGCACAGCTGCTGATTCAATCAGAGCTCAGGTGCACGGAAGCCCTGGGCCCCTTGGTTTATTTCCAGTTATGTGGTAATCCATTCAGGTCCCATGGCTGCCTACAGTGGCCACAAGATGGATTACTGGGTGTAAGAAAACATGAAATATTTGTCTTTCCTTTCAACCCCTGTAAAACTTAGAACTTGGTTTATGATGAGGAATTCTAATCTCTTTTCTTAAATTTTATATTATGTATATGAGTGTATTGCCTGCATGTAAGTGCATCCGTGTTGTGCAATGCATGGAGGTCAGAAGAGGGTGTTGGATTCCTCTGAAATTGGAGTTACAGACAACTGTTAGATGCACGTGGGTGCTGGGAATCAAACCTGAGTCCCCTGCAAGAGCAGCCAGTGCTCTTAACTGCTGAGCCTTCTCGACAGCCCTGGGATTCTAATCTTTTAATCCCCTGTAAGCCTTTTGTTTAAAGAAAGGCCCTGCCTGATCCATTCCTGAGTTTGATGGCCTGGAGTGGTGGCACTCCTCTCCCATCACGCCAATTCTTTTAAACTAGCCAACCAGGAAAGACTTCTAGGTTGGACCCCAGCTGAAGGGAAAAGAACACAGTTCTCTAGTGTTAGGGATAAAAGCCCACCAACTTTTGGGTCTTGTGTGCTTGCTAGATCTGACTATGCATCTGTGGGACCCTGACTCATCTAACCACTTCTTTCTGCTTCTGTAATTTGCTTGGCTTAAGGTGACAATAACTCCATTTTGACTAGCTGTTTCAGGCAAGCCCGGGCATGCCCAGGCATGTCGTAATCTTCAGCATTTTGGCTAGCTATAGATCAAGAAAGCCCTGGCATATAGCAGCCTTATAAGGTAAAAACAGAAACTTCTGGCCCCACAGATAACAGCGCATTCCAATGCCCTAAAGACAGCCCCTACCAATAAGAATCCTCCCTGTACGCAGGGCATAGGACCATCCAATCATTTTAAAGGATGCTTGGTGCGTGCAGGCTTCTGTGAAACTTCCCTATAAAAGCCTATCCCACCCTAGATTGGGGCTCTCAGTACGGATCCGCTGCATTGGTGAAATCTGAGGGCCCGAGCTTAAGCCCAAATAAAGACTCTTTGCTGCTGCACACACTCCGGACTCCTTGGTGGTCATTGGGGGTTGTGAGATCTGGGCATAACATTTGGGGGCTCGTCCGGGATCTCCAAGACCTCCACGGGACCCCCGGAGCATTGAGCCTGGTCCGGCCAGTAAGTGTCTCTGTTCTCTTGTTCATGTGTGTTGCACGCTCTTGGTTTTGGGCCCCCGTTACCTTGTTAGCCTGTTGGCAGTCTAGGTGGACATGCTGCAAGACCTCAGGCCGTGGGACTTGGGAGACGTCCTGGACCCACCTGATAGGGATTGGATCCCACTTGTAACTTTGGAAGGGAAAGACGGGTCGCACCCATGGAGCGGCGAGAGGCTGACATCCCACTTTCAGTTCTTGTTTAAGGCAACCGGGAAGTACTGTTTTGTCAGTGTGTGTCTTTGTGTTTTCCGTGTTATTTGTGACTTACTTATAGACATGGGACAAAGTCAAGTAACACCTTTAAGTATTTTCCAGGATCATTTTTCTGACTTCAAAAAGAAGGCTAGAGGACAAAGGCTAGAAGTGAAGAAAGGCAAACTCTTTG